TATATATATATATATATTTTATTGAAATAAATAAATAGGAAGGAAGGAAGGAAGGAAGGAAGAGAAGATTGATTGATTCCCTGACCCAAAGGACAAGTACCTCCCAGAAGCTTCCCTGACTTGACCTGGCCTGCGGGACACGCAGAGGTAGAAAGTTCAGCCCACCTGGGTCTCTCACCTCAGAAAGGCAGAAATGGCCTTCACTGCCTCAGCAGCCACTTCCAGCACAGGGCTATTTACTGCCTCTTGGAGGGCACGGCCAGCATCTCTACACATGGTTGAGCTTGTGAACAGTTTGATCTCCTCTGGCTGCCTAAGAAATGATAAATGAGCAATGAGTAAGTGAATGCCTATCACTGACCCCACCTTCTTTCCTTCTCCAGTCTGGCTCCTACAGGTCAATTTCACATCACTTTGCTCACCGAGTGAGGATCTCAGCAAAAAGCAGCAGGCCCTCCTTATGTAGCTCTGTGTTGTTCATCCGCAGGCTTCCCTGTAGGCTCCTCACCACTGACTCAATCCCTATTTCAAAATGACATGGCAGAGGCCAAGGATCAGTAGTTGGTAGTTTCTTCAATGCCTGCCCAGGAGAAGTAAGAGGTTCTGGGTAGCACATTTTTGCTGGTGACCCCTCATGGAGAGGCCCTGACACGGTTGAACTGATGGGATGGGACTGTGAGATCTTTGAGGGCAGGCCCTTATCTGATTCATCTCTGTCTCCCTGAAACCCAGCACAAGCCATAGCACAGGCCCTGGTACTCGAGGTATTCAGTGAACGTCTACTGACCAAGTTGTGCCTTTTCTACTAGACACACTCCTATTCTTTCTCAAAAGTCAAGTCAGAGCTGTGGGCCTCCACTGAGCTCCCATGTCCCCTGTATTTTCCTCTAGCAGAGCCCTAATCAGCTTGTTTATATCTCTCTCCCCTTCCAGAGGACAGGGACCACATTATATGTATCCCTAAATCTCTAGGTCCTAGCCTGGTGCCTGGAATAGAACAGGAACACAGAATATAAAATGAATGACTGAATGCGCCCTGCCTAAAAATCCAGACAGGATATAAAAAGTCCCAGACAAGGGGCGCCTGGGTGGCTCAGTTGGTTAAGTGTCTAACTTCCGCTCAGGTCATAATTTCACATTTCACAGGTTCGAGTCCCAGGTCGGGCTCTGTGCTGACAGCTCAGAGCCTGGAGCCTGCTTCGGATTCTGTTTCTCCCTCTCTCTCTCTGCCCCTCCCCAACTTGTTCTCTGTCTCTCTGTCTCTCAAAAATAAATACACATTAAAAAAAAAAAAAAAGTCCCTGACAAAGAAGGTATCACCAAGAAGGAAAAGGAAGGGACAGTTTCAAGAAAACTTGAAAGGCTGAATCAGCAAAACTTAGGGATTAACTAGATGGACAGAAAAGGACTGAATCCAAGGCTGAGTAAAGTTGTTCTTAAGGTACAATTGGAATTCATTTGGCAGCTAATAGGAGTGCCTTTTTCTCACCAAACATAGATACTTCTGTCAATCTGTGAGGGGAACTGTCTGGATATCATTGCTTCCATATGGAATCTGGTAATGAGTTTGGGCTAATAGAGATGACCAGACCCAGCCATCCCTCCAAGGTATAGGCTAGCCCCCTATCATTTTCACTACTACCCAATTTCAAAGTGCTGACCACCCTACCCAGAGCTCGTGGAAGACTCACATCACTCACCATACACCGTGTGGCACTTGGAAAAGAAGAGGGGCTCTTCCGCCAGAAGTATCAAGCAGTTATAGCTGAACCAGACGAGCACTTCGCTGGAAGAGGAAAGGTGCTCAAAGAGGAACTCTGGCCGGAAGAGGGGAGAAAACAATGGATGACCATTGCGTGATCATGATCCATTAACTAAAGCTAGGGCCACGGATTCGTTCAGCATCTCACACCTATTACTTCATCTCTTTACACACCCTTTCCATGAGACATGATCATGAATTCACAGATAAGCCTGGAAAATAACCTCAGGGTTAGGATCTAACCTCATCTTTTTAAAAGATGAGGTAACTGAGACCCAGAGGGAGGTACTGTTAGTGGTAGAGGTGGGACTGGAATTCAGGATGGGTAATAGCAGGATGCAGAGAAAAGTTTTTAAAGCCAGAGAGGCTTGATTTCAGATCCCTTCTCTGTCAGTGACTAGCCTTATAAATTTACACCAGTCATTTCCCTTCTCTGATCCTCAATTTCCTTATCCATAAAACAGCAAAGATGAGAACCTGAACGTGGCAGCACTTACAGTGCACCTCAGGGCATATTTCCTGGTCATGACAAGCCCTCAAGAAACATTAGTTCCCTTTGCCTTCCTGTCCACAGGTCTTTCCACCACCTCACACTAGGCGCTTTTTCCTAGATGGTCAAATAAATGACAAAGATCAGTAACAAATTGCTCAAGGTCATCTAAGAGGTGCGTAGCAAGAGGATTCACTTTATGAGGCCTACTTCCTAGAGTCTGTCCTGTACAACTGAGCCTACCACCAGCCCATCCCTCCAGAATGTATTATCAAAGAACCCCAGTAGCACAGCTACCGCTGTGTGACTCAAGGGTCTCCAGTCAGAACCCCAGGGCCCTCAGAGGAGATTAGATGGAGCTCCCTACCTGGGATGTCGGCATGGATGAAGGCTGGGGCATGCTTCGCTGGAGAGTGGACCAGCACCGCAGTTATACAGTGGGCACTGGCCACCTGCAGAGTCTCATCTCTAGAGAGGAGAAGCTGGAGAAACAGGCAGCAAAAAGTGCTGCAGTCACACCACTGACAGGTAGAGGGTAGCAGCCTGAGTGCCACAGGGCAAGAGCCCAATTCCTCTCTGAATCCCTCCTGCACTAGATGGCATCAGGATGGTACTCAGGGAGAGCAATTCTAGATTATGGAAAGGAGTCTGCCTGAAGAACAGTAGGTGAGAAACAGAACAAAAGAACACAATGGCACTCAAAGAACACTAAAACTGTCACCAGGAAGGGTTTGGGCCTTCATTAACAGAAGTACTTTCACATCCCTCATCTGGTTTTGATGCTTGCAACAAGCCTGAAACATACCAGGGGAAAGTTCTACTATGAGCCTCACTCTACAGGGTGTGCTGAAAGGAACCAACATAGCAGGCCTGAGACTGTTATCCTTAGAAAGGCCTGTCTATAAGGTTGAACACTGACTGGGTTTGGGAAGTTGGATTTTAGGAGGGCTCCCACCACTCCCTGAATCATTAATATTGACTCTCCGTGACTAAACTATTTGTACAAACAATGTAGTTTATGCTGAATACCTGCTTTTCCTCCTGGGAGTCTGTACAACTTTGGTTGTACTAGGCAGAGGATGCCTACATGATCAGTCTGCCCACAATAAAAATCTTGGGCACTGAGACTCTAATAAGCTTTTCTGCCAGGCAACATATCACATGTGTTGCCACAGTTGATTGCTGAAGGAATAAAGTGCAACTTTGTCTGACTCCACGCAGAGAGGACTCTTAAAAGCTTGTGCCTGGTTGTCCCCCAGATTTCACCCCACACAGCTTTTCTCTTTGCCAATTTTGCTTTGTATTATTTCACTGTAATAAATAAGAGGCATGAGTATGACTATTTACTGAATCCTGTGAGCCCTCCTAGTGAACCATTGAACCTAGGGGTGGTCTTGGAGACTCTCAACACACAGAGGAAGGAATTAAAGCTCATGGAGGTTAAGTCACTTATTCCAGGCCACATAGCTAGTAAGTGGAAAAGGTAAGGCAGAAACTTATGTCAGCCACATCCAAATTTAGGCATCCTCCTACAACAGAGATGCCTCCTCCATCAAATTTTAGATCAGATTATTCCACTACTCAAAACATTTCAATGAATTTCCAAAGTCCTACTGGACACCATAGCTATCAGAAGTCCTATAGCACTTTCAGAAATCAAGGAAAGGGTTAATTGCAACTACATATTTCTTTTAAGTTTTATTTATTAAGTAGTCTCTATACGCCACCTGGGGCTCAAACTCAAGACCCCGAGATCAAGATCACATACTCCTCTGACTAAGCCAGCCAGGTGCTCCCAGATTTTAAGTGTAGGAGAAACTGGAATTCTAGGGGAAAATGATGAGTAGAACATATATCATGAGCCACAAAGGAGGGTGTGCCTGGTTTTAGAGTTGCAAAGGAAAACAACCAAGTCACATTCATATCTGGTAGAGAGGCATCTGAGGACTGCAAGCTTAAACCCATCTCAGTTATGTCAGGCTTGAATATGGACACATGATCAGCCTTTCTATTAGTATGCAAAAGGGTTTCTATACAGCATTAACCTTTATCTTCTATTTTATATAGGAAATGACATGTATCTTAAAATGCTACTGATGTAAGGTAAACCATTATTTTATATACCACTAAGAGTAAAAGAGCTATTATTAAGCTATAACACAGCACTGATGGTAAAATGTCTCCCAATTTCAGAGCTGTTAAAATGTAAAAAAAAAAAAAAAAAAAAAACTTATCTTAAAAAAAAGTGATATTTAGGAGCACCTGGGAGTTCCTAATGATATTAGGAGTTCAGTCAGTTAGGCGTCCAACTTCGGCTCAGGTCATGATCTCAAAGCTGACAGCTCAGAGCCTGGAGCCTGCTTCAGATTCTATGTGTGTGTGTGGTGGTGTGTGTGTGTGTGTGTCTCTCTGCCCCTTCCCCATTCATGCTCTCTCTCTCTCTCGCTCTCTCTCTCTCTCTCTCTCTCAAAGGTAAAAAACATTAAAAAATAAATAATTTTTAAAAAAAAGAAAAATGGTATTTAACTGCTAAGCAAAAACAACAATTCTTGGCTTAAAGTGCATGTTCCTTATTGTGTTGAGAAAGAAAACACTCCAAACCTATTTTTCATCATAAACAAAATTAATTATGAACATCTGTCTTTAAAAAGATCCTAGTTATTTACCGTGACCCATCAGGACTAGCATGATTTTTCCTGTTTAATCTCTAGACTCATCTTAGGCTATCACTTCTTGGCCTTTTGGCTAATATCAAGTGTAAATTCATCTTGGGCCACATCACATTCCACCCACCATCCATCCCATTGGCCTCCATCTGCTCCTAGAACACATCAGGCATCTCTCTTCCTCTAGCCTTTATTTGCCGTTCCCTCTGCCTGACATACTTTTCTGCCCACTCTTCATATCACTAGCTTACTTACTTACTTAATTTACTTATTTTCAGCCTCATTGAGGTATAATTGATCACTGGCTGACTTTAAATCTTCAAGCATCAGCTCAAGTGTCAACCCTTCAGAGAGGCCCTGCCTACCACTCAACCTGTAGCTGGCCTTCCTCACTACTATCTCATCTCCTCTTTGTTTCCTTTATAGCAAAACTAGAATACTTTGCTTGTTCATTTGCTTGTTTATTACCTGCCTTCCCCAGGAGACCATGCAAAGGCAAGGAACTTGTCTGTTTACATACCATGATATTCCCAGTGCCTAACACAGTAACTAACACCTCATATTAGTGCTCAGTATATATTTGACTAAATGAATGGATCAACATTGCAACAGAAGAGACACAAACATTGACAATATATTCCTAGGGATCTGAATTAAGGGAGAATAAGTTGATTACCAGCCAAAATCAGGAAGGAATAGCATTAGACTCTGACAAATATGCCAGAACAGAGATAAAAGGATATATGTTGATCTTATCTTTATTTAAAATTTTGGTATTTTGTTCACTATGAATTAACTTTTTTTTTTTTTTTTT